GACAGAGCAATAGGTTTTCCTCACTGGTTCTCAAAAGAACCATGAACTTCAAGTGCCCACCCATCTCCTCCACATGCCAGACCCTTGCTGGGCCCAAGTGAGGATTCCCTGTTGCGTAGGCAGCTGGAGCCTGTTCTAACCAACTGTGTAGGGCCCTCAGGACTCAGGTCTCTCCTATCTCACTTACCACAGCCCAGAGCCTCCTTAGCATCAGCATCTCAAATTTTCCTTTCATGCACTGAACCCCCCTCATGGCTTCCTCAGTTAATAAACTAAATGGAGCATTTCTTTGCTCAGCCAACTATTTGTTGGTTTTCCTGGGCACTGCTTAATGAGTCTGTGACCTTGGTTGAATCATTGTTCTCGCTGAACTGCTTTGATCAACAGGTGGGAGCAATGACCTTTGATTGAGGGGTTTCATTTGTATGACATGAGACACCACATGAAGTACCTAGTGTCATTCCTCACAGGTGATGGAACCAAAGTTGGCTTCCTTGTTCACCCTCTCAGAGCTGAAAATGGTATTTGCCATTCAGCAGGCACTCCCTGAAAGGAAGAAAGATAAATGAATAATTTTGTTTTCCCCTGAAATAGTCAAAAATCACATCCTGTAGATTCTGTCTGCAAGGGTAGTTTCCCAAAATATTTGCCTGGGATTCCAGAATTGCAATTTATTCTGATGCTCTTTTATTTTATTTACTTTATTTTTATTTTATTTTATCAAGCAAAACCTAATGTTCTAACCTAGATTTTGCAGTTATTTTCTGAACTAATTATAAATCATTGCAAGTAGTGGAATATTTTCAAGAAAAGCCAGAAGCAGAGCTTTAGCTATTTATTAACTTCTTACTAACTTTCCCATAATTAAATCACTCTTAAGACATTTTGAATTGTAGAGAAAAGAAAATGCTGTTACTTGCAATGTTAGTATTCTAAAAACCCTAAATCCATGTCTACTTTTAATGTCCATTGCTAGTTAACACATATTCCACACATTAGTTTAAACAAGATTTTCCTTGGCTTTCASTGGAAAATTAAATTTCTTTGGGAAGCTAACACTGTCAAAGTTGACAGTCGTAAGAGAATTTTCAGATCAGTTCTTTCTCCAGAGTTTTAGGAACCAAGTAAAGATTTCTCGTTGTTTATAATCCTCAGAAGTAAGACCATGAACCCAGAGATCTTGAGAACATTTTCAGTCTCTGTAATTCCCATTATAATTCTCATTCTACACATTGTAATTTGTGTGTTTAAGTAGAGCATTATGGGATTGTAAAGATGTATAATTTAGGAAATTCACATAGGGCGACCTTTTATCAAAAGGTCTAAAATTGGACCTTCAGATCAGACTGTAGCTGTATAACACAGATGGACGTCAGCAGAAAAGCCCTTCCCTGTGAGTTGAGGGCACTTCCACGTGCTCCTTACCACCATCAGATTTTTATATCTTACACTGCAGTAGACAAAGAGGAGCCATCACGGAGATGTATGTTTTAACCATTTCTAGTTTCCTGCACATGGATGGCTTTATGACTCTTCTTTTGATTCCATTGTAGTTGAGGAACTTCATAGGTTTCTATAAACTATGGGAGAACTCACCATGGACCTTGGCAATGATTCTTGGCAGTGATTTTTCAGAACTGAAGTGTGAAATGTAGCAGAACACGTGAGATCAGGGTTCATTCTCCCCGCCCCCTTTGTGAATTACTGCTAATGTGTAATGTGATCTGAGCACATTTCTTGCATTGGCTGCTCTTTTGATATCTGGGAGGAAAATCATTAATGAAGTTTTATTCAACTCTTATTTTGTATGAATGCTTTCTGTAGGTCTGGCACATTGTGAATTAAAAGGACTGAGCCGAACCAAAGAAGTTTAAGACAGTTCCTGTTCTATGGTTCTTATGGTAGTAGGAAATAACTATGGATAAAGAAAGATCAAAACCTGAGAATTAACATGCTCTTATTTAATAATAAGTAAGCTAGATACGCAGTAGTAAGTGAAGCAGGAGGGGAGGAGACACTGACCTTGTCCAAAGGAAAGAGCTGCTATCAGTGGCAAAGCATTGTTATGTAAAATGTGAGCTCTCTTTTGGCAGATCTTCCTATTTTCAGGTGAGATATCCCTATGTTCAAATGTTGGTGACTTATTTGAACATTTATGAAACACTGGTGGCCAATCAAAAAGCATTTTTAGCATGCCTGTGATCCAGCAGCTCAGGAGGCTAAGTCAGGAGGATGGCGAGTTCCAAAGCAACTCAGTGAGACCCTGTCTCTAAATAAAATGCAAAATAGAGCTGGGCATGAGCTCAGTGGTTGAGTGCCCACAAACTCAATCCCCAGTACTTAAAAAAAAAAAAAAAGGTATTTTTATATGCAACCTTAGGATATAGTGAATTTTATGAGAAGTTCAAATAAAGATTCTTTCCAGGTACAGAATATCACAGGCAAAGACCACGTTAGTGTTTTGTTTTTAATTTTTTGTTTTTGGTTGTATAAAAGAGATGCCTCCATATTCTTATCATTGTTAAACTGAACTATCATATAATAAATCCCAGACTGTCAAGGGATATGTCACCAGATAAAAGACAGTCCTTAAACACCAGATTCAATTACCTGTTTTTGTGTGATTCAGACTTCTAATAAAGGTTTTTCTACCCTTGGGGTAACACATTTACTAACTGTCATCAATACACTTATCAGTATTTTCCCCTCTAGGAAAAGCTTTTGGTAATTGTTAGAATGCACACTTATTCACGATTTACCCCACTCTCCTGTGCTTGGTGGTTATCCAATTAAACATGGCCTGGGAAAMCAGGCTTCATAGTGTGAAAGCACTCAAAATTCTCTAAATAAATCTCTTTTTATCTGGTATAGCATGTGAACATTCCAAAGGCTTTCCCATATTGTCTCATGTAGGCCTTTAAGATATTCTAGGACTCACAATGATAAGTTCTATAAAATTGAAAACAGAGCACATTTGTGTAAGGTCAGGCTGTTTTCATTCATTTTCTGTGAATGACTTGAACTCTGTCCTGACAGCATTCCCATGCCTTTGCTCATGTTCCTGATTCAGCAGCGCTTTCTCCTTAGCCCAGTTACAGTTCAGGGTTCAAATCTAAAGCCAGTTTTCCCTCAGAGTTCTTTATATCTCACGAGAGACCAGGTTTGTGTGTCTCCTGCTCTGTGGGCATCCACCTCACCTTCCACATCATGTTGCACTCAGGAGAGGCAGAGCTTTTCATCATGGTACCTGTCAGGCTGGATGAAGCTCTCGGCAAGGGATGACTCTTGGGGAGTGTTGTCATGATCAGAGCATCTCCAAGAGCAAGGAATTAAGTCAGATACATCAAAGACAGATGCACCTAGATTCGATTCCCATCCAAATCACGTACTAGCTGCGTGGTGGTGGCAATGTCTTCATCTTTCTTCTAAAGAGTTGATAATAAAACTTGCTTCGCGGGTTTGTTAGGAAGTATGAGTGGTGAGAAAACCTTGTCTGGAGTCTGCTACAGTGTCTGGCACATAGTGGGTCTGAAATTGAGTGACCCTCGTCTCCTTCGTCTCCTTCTTAATCATTCCTCACAGCATTCTTTTTTGTTCCTGCTCATCTATCTAGTTCATTCCTCCCTAAATCCAACCTTGTAACTCAGTCTGGATTCACAGTCACAGGTAACCGCTAGAAGAGCCAGTCTGTGGAGTCCAGTGCATTTGAAGTCAGAGTGTGTTCCTATACCTTCATAGATCTAGGACCATAGGCAACATATTGAGTTACTTGAAACTTGGTATCTTGGTCTCTTAAAAGGGGATGATAAAATGTGTTAAGAAGATTAAATGAGCAGACATGTGTAAAACACCCAGAATACTGCCAAACATGGTAACATGTTCGAGTGTTGAATAAATCAAAACCGCTATAGAGATGTTGAGAGGTTTGAAGCTGAGCCCAGACAGAGAGGTCACTAAAGACTAAAACCAAGAAAGTACCCGAAAATCAGTACTCTCCTAAAATGTCAGTGTTGAATTGGAGCATCTTGGTTAAGCTGGGGATATGACATTTTATAGCTCCAAAATTTAGAGGTTTCAAAAGGACAAAGCAAATGCCCCAACCTAAAATTTCAATTCAGTTCCACCTCTGGTCAGTGTCTTTATACATCCCCAGTGTCTTTATACAGTTGGCTGATGCAGTAGCTGAACATAGTTCTGAGGGCTCAGCCTGTGCCCAGAGCATCCTTCTTCACGGGTTCTGCTCTGCCTCTTTGCAAGTGGACAGGCTGCTTTTCCAGGACATTCCAGAGGGCTGCATTGGAAGGAACTCCACACTTCCTGGCCCAGCCCCCCTAGAGTAGAGGTTGGCAAACTCTTTCTATCAAGGGCCAGATAGGAAAGGGTTCAAATTTGGGAGACTGCATATAGTCCTGGTAGCATATTCTTTGTTGATATTTTAAGTAATCCTTTGAAAATGTAAAAGCCATACTTAAGGAAAAATAGGCCACAGATGAGAGGGCTCACAGACTGTAATTTGTGGACTCTGCTCTAGACCAAGAGAGGGAAAGGGGGACCTAGGATGCCTTCAAAACCCTGATGCACCSATGCCTTCCCTTAGGGAACAGGAGAAAGCCCCCTCATCACTTTTATCTATTTATTTTTTAATCTTAAAGACATTAGGTTAGTTCTTTCCTTCCGTGGTACAACTATATGTTCTCGTCGGGTTTTTTTTTTTTAGTCATTTTATGGAGAGACCTCATCACACTGCTGTTTCCCATTGGGAAATGATGAGGCACGGTTTAAAGCAGATGGAGCACAGACTGTAGAAATGAAAAACACAGAAGAAAGAGCTGTGTGAAAGAAATATTTAATCATAACATGAAAAACTCCTAGTGGCAACTTTTCCATTATGTTAAATTCCACTCATTTCTATGCATTCTGAGTATGTGTTTAAAAACAAAGGTTGGAATTTTCCATCTCTGTGCCCATCTCCCATGGAGTTTTGATTTTGTCTTTTGCAGGACTATGACTTGAGCCAACTCCAGCAGCCTGACACAGTGGAGCCTGATGCCATCAAGCCCGTGGGAATCCGTCGGCTGGATGAGAGACCCATCCACGCTGAGCCACAGTATCCAGTCCGATCTGCAGCCCCACACCCTGGGGACATCGGGGACTTCATTAACGAGGTGCAGAGAAAGACTCTCTTTTTGTTTTATGCCCATGGTTAGATCTGTRTAGGTCACAGGTTGCTTGGAATATACTTGTGTAGTTCATTAAAACATATTTAAATTCATTTTTAGATGGAAGCTAGTATGGCTTCAGTAACTAAGAGAGAACGAATTTAATTGCTTTGATCAACCCAAAAGAGATCTGTCAATTAATATTTTGTGTGTGCAAAATGATACTCGTATAATTTATTGGTATTAGTCACACTATCTCCAAGAAGTACTTTTTCCCKTGACTGCCAAGTAATAGGCTAAGAATATTATAGTGTATTATAATTTTATTTATTAGCACTGATAAATGTAGCAGGAGTTCCCTTTAAATGTATCCCTTACTGTATGTACCCTTTGAATTCCACATATGGTGAGAATTCAGTGCCTACCCAATGGCTCCATTAAAGGAGATTAGTGGAAGAACAGCTAAATTAAATATTATGTAAGTGATTTAAATACTTGCCTAGTTGAGGAGTTTTAAGAGCTTCTGTAAGAGGAAGCTAATTCTCTGTTGAATATAACAGATATGATTTTCATTGTCAAAATTATTATGACACACTTATGTTACTGACCAAGAGTTCTGCTACATTTTATACTTAAGTTTGGAAGTAAAATGATTTATATTGCTTCTTTGGGTTAGAGCTAGTCCTCTCTTTAAATTTTTAATCAAGCATAAATGGCAGTGGTACATATTGATGTTGACTGTGAATGTATGGCAGGAGTCATGTTCTCTGGCCATATCCTCCAGATCTCCAAAATCTCAATTGATCTTGTTGCATTATAAAATGGAATGCATCGGTTATRTGTGGCCTTCTGTCTTGTGCTGATAAACCTTTTATTTCCTGGACCTCCTTGAAGTAATTKTATAAGGTGTAAACGTCTACATGAGGTATTTAGATGCACTTACAGATTGTAGAAAAAGTTTGGAAACATAGTTGGGATATTTAGCTGCCTGTTCATCTACCCATTACTTTCTATTTCTAAAAGTCAGACTGCTTTCTGAATGTATGCATTCACTTCTGTTAAGCAAGCAATAGGTTAATTTRTAGTAGACATGATTAAAAGCAAATGGGAGACAAAAACAACAGAATACCAGTGACTCCCTTTTTTCTAGAAAAATCTGCCCTGACTCTTTTAACTCTTATTTACATACAGACATGCTTAAATAATTCACCTGAATTTTGTACATTTATGAATACCTGAGGATTTTATATCTGATTGAACATTCATCATTATGAAAAATTGTTGTTGGGTTTTCTGTGGTTATGGGGTTTTTGAGATACAGTGAATCTTTTGACTGTAAGTGCAGGAACTGGGCTTTTTGAAAACAAGAATTCTGGCTTGAGTGTAATTCAACAAATACTTACTGAATGTTTCTGCCTGTCTCTGGGGTATCAGTATTCTCTGTATCTCAGGCCTGTTCTTGATACTCTTCTCTTCTTGGTAATAAAAATCAAACACTAAGCAATTTATAAAGCAGTTCATAATACCATTCCTGCCCACTCTTTCCCTCCTTGAATCCCCTTCTGTTCTGCAGCTCCAAAGAGCTGTTTTCATTTCTCCCAAAGCTTCACACTTTTGGACAGACAATAACTTCTGCAAACCCCATACCTTCTTGACCATCTGCAAGACTCCCCTTAGCTGAAAGGAATTAATACAAATGCCCCCTTCTCTGTGAAGCCTTCCTTGATCCCTCCAGGCAAGGCTAAGTTAGCAAGAAGCTTCCTCTGCCTTAACCCACACCAACTGGAATATAACTGTCCCTGTTTCTTTCTCCCACTTTAGTATGTGAGTGCTTTGCAGGACAAGTACTATTTCTTGTTCATGTTTTTATAACCTAAGCATCTAATACACTGCCAAGCTCTTTGGTTGTTTTCAGGAATTTAAGTACTATAAGCAGGTGTATAGGGCATAAAGCTGTGGGCACCATCGAATTTGCATTTGATTGATATTCAGCAGAGACCCAGTCTGGAGCTTTTCACTCTACTGGTGCTGATTACATTCAGGAAACAAGGATATCGTTGATTCTAAGTTTGTGTTTTCGTGTGTATGTTCTGTGTGTGTGTGCGCATGCGTGTGCGTGAGCATTGATTTTTGCTTTGTTTTGTTTTTTGCACTGACTGCATTTTCCTTAGTAGATAGAAAAGAACATTTAGTTAATAAGATTCCGTGACCCAGCCCTTCTACTGCCACAGCAGATAGAGATACAGTAGGAATTTCTACTTGGAATTTCCTTTCTCTAAAACAATGCTTAGGTTAGGTATCAGTCTAAAATGTGGTTTGCGATCATAACAAGTATTTGTGATTTCTCATATGGAAAAACTTGATTCCAAACAATTGGCTATAAGTGAACTTCAGAGTACAATCAGTCATCATTTGAGCATATGTTAAAAAGAGCTCATTTTGAAATTATCTTGAACTCTGTTGAGGATCATCTATTCAGCAAATCACTAATGAATGCCTGCTATGTATAACATAACTGCCAGCAAAGTGTAGCTGAAAGGTAAATGGGACACAGTTTCTCTTGTGCATCTTCCCTACTTTGCTATGATCACAGTCTTCATACAGACTGTCCCTGACTTGAGATGATTCCACTTAACAGTGTTTTGACCTGACAGTGGTGAAAAAAGAATGGCAATATTCAATAGAAACCATACTTTGAAGTTTTGAGTGTGGCTCTTTTCCCAAGCTAGTTATATGCAGTTATACTCTCTTGCATGCTGCAGCAATACAACCGAGTCCCTATGTTGTACTGTGTTGCTAAGCTACGATGTTTGTAGGTCGAGTTATAAATACATTTTCAACTTAGATCTTTTCAACCTATAGCAGGTTTATTGGAATAAAACCCCAAAGTCCTCTATATAATGCAAACATGCCTGTGTGGAGCCCTATTCTGCCAGGAGAAGGAAGCCTGTTGTGTCTGATTCTTACCTGGCTTTCCAACTTCATCTTGGGCCCCTCCCTGACCTGCATCTTGGAGGCCTGAATCAAGAGCTCTACTTCTCCTTCAGTCTTGCCTTATAATCCTGTGCTGTTCTTCCTGCCTCAAATCTGCCTGCCTGCTTCTTCAGAAGTTAGTTCCTTTATGAAGTCTTTACCAAGGCAGGAAGAGTCAGGAACACAGGATATGGGCTAGACATTATCCAGTGGTAGCCCACCCCACCTCCATTCAGAACACCTGGTTTCCTTTGACCCTTCCTTGAGCCCTTTCTTGCTCCAGAAAGAGGTCCTTATCCTGAGGGGAGAGTGTGAGGCACCTTAGTTTGATGAATAAATAAACAAAACAAGGCAATTTGGGAATCATTCCCCAAATGGCAACCAAATCTATGAAACTAAAAGTGATGACAAGACAGAGACAGGTTAAGGAGTAAGGGAATAAAATTCTGTTCCTAGAAATGTCCCTACAATTGGAGACAGGGAGAGGTTAAGGTATCACAGAAAACAACCAAAAAGAAAATTCCAGGCATGTGATGGCTATTTCTGTGGGTCAGTTCAGAGAGATGAAAATTGTTAGAACTCTGAAAGCACTAGGTAGAGTCTTCAATCCAAGACGCCCATTAGGACTTGATCAATATCTTCCATTGACTTAACAGACAAAAATAAATACATGTAAACTTTTAAAACAGTGGAAGGCACCTCGAAAGAACTCAAGCGCATTTTGTAAAAACATTGAAAATGCACACAAATTTATTTATCTCCAGGTCTTATTTGATTTAGCAGAGTACCGAATGTTCCAAAGGAAGAATAATGTAGTGGTGATTATAATTGGAGTGCTTTTATAGATGTAAGGAGCAGGAAAGCTCATGAGAACATTTTCTAATTTGTTTATTTAAATAATGAATGAATGTTGACTTGAATCTCAAAAAGGATAACACATTTTCAGTCTGGTAGGTAGAGTAAAACAGGTCACATGTTTTTTGGATTTCAGTTGCAGAATTTCATTCTGTGTTGACTTTTCAGACATGACCTTCAGAGGGTAAAAAGTTGAAACACATTCCTTTAATCTCATCCTGACAGTAGATATTAGCATACCTCCAACAACTTTACTAATCCCATATTTTTTTCTTATCTCAGAAGAATAAAAACTGAGTGTATCCTTCTATTAAAAGGACATGAAAGTTTCTTCTAGAATAGTTTGCTTGAAACTACTAAAGTTTAAAAAGGTTGTTTTTTTTCTCTTATTCATTACATTTAATTTGTCCTCTTTGAAGTATCTCACTCCTATTTTACAGGAATTGCATTTTTGTGTGAATTCAAATCCAACTGCTTCACCAACAGCTCTGTTACCTAGTACAAGGTCAAGATCCTTAAATCTAACCTCTTACATTTCTAATTCTCTTATTTGTAAGATGGTTGATAATAGTAGACCCTTCTTTTCAGATTGAAATAAGAACTCAATGTGATCATTTATGTAAAATACGAGGTACAGTGCCTGTCATATGGTGAAGTCTCTGAATTATWATAAATGAGAATATATCATAATGAGAATTGTATGTAAATTACTTGGTATGATTAAGACTTTCTACTGTCTCTAATTTCAGATGAAATAGTTTAAATCCTGTCCTTTCAAAAAAAAATTGCTTTAAACCCAATGAAATTGCCAAAAAAAGGGATGGCAATGTTGACCTGAAGAAGTCATAGAATCTCATACAATAAACATGGTGTTTACCATGATCATCCACATGTATTTTTATAGGTCCACATATATTTCAAACCCAGATACGTGATTTTCCTGAAAGAAGCAGATATAAACATGAACTAGATGTGAAGAGGAAAATACCTAAGCCCAGGTCACCAGTGGAGAGTTATCTCGTAGCATAGCTGCCAAATGCCAGGTGCTGTGTTGGAAAGCAGAGTGTGAGTACAAAACAGCCCCTGCAAAAAGGGATGTCACTATCTAGGAGCAATCCAGATACTGTAATAAAAGAAGAAGGGTCCAGAGAGTTCATAGGAGTGACTCCTAGTCATGG